AAGGGAATGAACTAATTCCACACTGTTATTCCTATGGAAAGTACTTACTAACATTTGCATCTATATTTCATATTTATTTACACGTAGCAATCTTTGTTAATACACACAAATAACAGTTAAAGGATATTTCCTTTCACATCCCAAGTACACAAAAACRCTGACTTATTGAGCTGAACTTGACTTTGGAGACATATTTCAGATTAAACTAATTATGCTTTTTCCTCTCTGAAAACGTTACAACTATTATTAACCCTGCAATAAGAAAAAGRAACAAGCCAAACCCTGTGCTGAGCATCAGCTGAGGGGTTAATTTGTTGCTCAAGTTCCATTTAATTGTGCTCCCGTGTTCATTGTGCTCCCAGAAGGGCTCAGCTCAAAGGCAGCCTGGGCTGGCTGAAAGCTCTGAGCTTTGTGCAGTTGTGGAGCAGCACATTCAGACAGCAGTGGGAGATGAGCTCTGCCAGGATGGATAACTCTGGRCAATCAAGGCTTGACTACTACATCTCCTATGTCCACTGCTATAGTGTAGGTTATTCAACTTTTTTTCTGCATGCTTCTTACTTTATTTTAGCAGTTCTGTCATTGTATTCTGTTCCTGCTAACCTCAGTTGATTTTTATGTTAAAGTGTCGGTGTAGCTCTGAGGTTTTTGGCTCTTTGTAGTTTTCTTTGCTCTAAAACAAGCARATAGTAAAAACGGGTTCTTTACCTACAAATGAAATAGTTTATTTGAACATTTTTTTGGAGTCWTTGGCTTCCTAGATTCTGAAGCTCTGAAATTCTAAGTATTTAGAATTAATGTTTGTGCTTCTTTTCCAGTTCTATTGAGTTTATATAGCAAAACACATAAATATACATCATTGTTCTGAAGTGAAGCTTGACAGTGTCTTCCAATTCCCACTATCACTCTAAAAAGCCTCAAAAGAGGGAGCACTGTGTATTTTACTGGAAATACTGTAGGTGACAATGATTATTACTATTTAAATAAGGTGTTGTGCTTGCATTTCTTAAACTAAGCTTAAACTGCTTTTCTGTGTAGGTTGGACCACAACTTAAAATGGTTGTGGTTTGACTTTAGGTACAGGGGAAATGACTTCTTGTAGTTCGGATTATTTATAAGCATTTGAATGTTTTTCTGAAGGTCATGACTTGCATTAGACAGAGATTTCTTAATATAAGACATATATCTAAAATGTTGTTACTCTTTTATGCATAGTATAGATGTGGGAAGTTGATTTAAAATCTAKTTGGCATTTCTTAAAAGCAGTCTTTTCAAAATGTTTACATGTTTAACTTTTAAATATTCTGATGTTTTGGTGTGAAGTGCCTTTCAAGCCTGTTAAAGCATATCCCTAAATAACCTGCTAGGGGTACAGCTACTCGTATATGACATATTTTCTCTCTGGGTAGGGGGTTCCTACAGTTCTGTTATTTCTGCATTTGAAAACACATCTCAGTGTTGTTTCAGACACAGGGACATCAGTCATTATCTYTTGAGATGCTGTTTAGGACCCAGCACAGCTGTGTCAGTGCCTTGTGCCACCCTGCAAACATTGCAGGTGCTGTTGTGCCTCCAGAGCACCACTGCACAGAATTACCACCTTCATCTGAACTCATCTTGGGCCCTTGAGGGAAAGCCAAATTAAAGACAAGCTTGGGTTCCTCATGTAATTATGGTGTTGTTCAGCACTCTGTGTGTYACTGGTTTGCTAAGTAACCATTGGACTGATATGTCTCATCTTTCTCATCCCTGCAAGGAAAAAAGGTGAATGAAGGAAGGAATAAAAAAAAAAAATAAAATTGAATAAACAGTGTGTCTGAACAAGAAATAACTTCTTTTGCAAACTTCTAGCAAAATCTGCAGAATACAATTAGAGCCATGCTCAAAGACTGTGAGGAAGCAATTCCTGTATAACACTCAATTTTGACTTTTTTTTAAAAAAAGTCATTATAACGTGATGCTTCAAGAATGTGGCAAGTCTTGAGTTACTATATGTAAAAACAAAAAGTCTTATAAAGTTCTCTGTAGGGTAATAACTGCCTCCTAAGAGCCGTAGCAGTTGTAGTGAGCATGAAGCATGCACACCTCTGGCAAGAGTAGACAAATCACTGTCCAGGATCTCTTTTTTGAAAAGCCCCACCTGCTCAGCTTTTGTTTTTATCTCTGATTTAAATGTAGCAGGTTTTTTCATGAATGAAGGACATGGTGTGCTCCCATTGCTGTCTTGTGTGTTATAATGTCTCCAGGGTTCTTGCTGGGTAAAGTGTGCAATATTATGTGGGGAATATGTGTCTGAAGGACCCTTCTTCTCTGTAAWTTAAAGAGATGGGGAAGATTGGTTTGGTATTTGTGTGTGCTCTTTCATTTAAGAGATCTTTGATTTGGTTTTGAAGCACTTGAAGGTAATGTCAAATGTTTCATCAGTCCATGCTGCCTCTTCAGTCTTCACAGAAGACATTGTGTGGTTCAGAGAGGTCACTGTCCTGCTGACATAAAGGTACCAATTCCTGTGTTTTTATGTCAGTCCCATTTTAGCAGTGGGTGGCTGATCTAACGAAGGATTAGGTTATCAGTAAGTGCTCAGCATGAGCATTTGTATCATTATGTGGTGTTCCCCTGTCATAAAAATGTTTCTTAGATTGCTTAGAATCCTGCTGGATTGCACCAGGTAAAATGAGACAGCACGTGGGAGTAGTCATTTTGAGGAYAGAGTTCACAAAATTGCTGTAGGCTGTTGTGTTAGAACAAATAAATAGAGGAATATTTCAGTTCTGCAGAGAGAGATGAGATGATAAAGGCTGCCTGCTTTCTCTAGAGTAAAGGAGGGCTAATTCACCAAGAAGTAAGCCAGGAGGCAGCTGGAAATGTAATCAAAATTAAATTACATTTCAATATGTTGCTGTCAAACACGTGGCTTTTCTCAGCTTCCAGTCATATATTGGTGGGACTTTGTCACAMTTTGGCAGACAGGAGGATGAGCTGGTAGTTTCTGTCAGGGTTAAAGTTGCTGCTGCTGCTATCTGAGGGTGCTGTGCTCACAGAAGAGCTGTGCTGGAAGGCATCCTGGGCTGGGAGATGGGCTCAGAGCTGGGAAATGGGCTCATGGTAACTCTGGACAGCCAAGGCTTTACATCTCTTGTGTTCACTGCCATAGTCTGTGTCTATTCAGGTGTTAACTGGCTGCTAATTTCCTTTTTTAGCGGTTCTGTCACTGTATTCTGTTCATTCAAACCTCAGTTTATTTGTATGGACAGTTGAGGTTCATTTTGTTTTTTTTTTTTTTTTAATTATTTTTGTTTTCTTTGCTCAAAGCGAGCAAGTAGTGAGGGTGAAAGGCAAGAGGCTCTTCTTGCTAATGGTCAAATAACTGCAACAACAATACTCTACTAAACCAACACTGCCTTTGTTCTGCTAAATAAATAGAAGTCTCTGGTTTTCCACTTGAAAATCAGCACCTTAAAGAGTTAATTTTGCTTCCCTTTAGCACCTTGCAAAATGATGACATTAGCAACCTTGCTGAGGCTTTGACTATGCAATTAGCATAAGAAGTGGGAGAAAGCACAATGTATTCATGAAAGGAGCATTGTATATTAACTCACTAGTAAATGATTTTTAGAGCCTTGTTCAATTATAGCATAACTCTCAAAGTTCATCCCTGAGGAAGGAAATTGAATTGCCAAATCGATGTCGTTAATATGRTTAGTCAGGCACCTTTTTCAGGAAGTGAAATGCAGGAGTCAGTGCCGCCTGAAGTGGAGCTTGCAGTAAACCTACACCAGTACATTCAAAGCTTTTGGTTCATCCCTTTCCGGGTTCTGATTGCCCACACTGCATAAATGCCTTTTTGCTCCCCAGCAAAGCAGCTGTTTCTATTTTGAGTGGAAGTTTTGAGTGTGCTCTTGGGAACGTGTGAGGAATCAGCATAAATGAGACCAAGCCACGTTTGGGCTCCTCCAAGGTCCCTGAGCTCCTTGTGGAGCTCTGAAATTGACAAAATTCTCTACACATCCTCCTGCTACTCTGGGCAAGTAACAAAGTCAGTGTTGTGCCAGGACATCCCTCACATCTCTTTCAAAAACCCTGGAAAAGAATAAATCAGATTTTTAGATCAGAATCAAAAAACGAGCAAGTGCTGTGCATGATTTTTAGTAGTGTAAGTGTAGTGATAGTAAAGGGTTAAACAAACACATCTTTGATTTTTTCTGAACCCAAGGAGATAAATGAAGCTATTGGGAAGAACAAGACTCAGTTTCTTGCTTTGGACCACGACAGCCAGAGTTGAATCTGGACAAAATATCTCTTTCTTGAAGCAAGGCAGGCCCTGAGCACTGAACTCTTGCCATGGGTCTGATGTCTCTTTCCTCCCTGGTGTGCAGCTCTGTCCTGGGCCGTTTCAGCATTATCCCTTTTCCTCGAGGTTGCTTGTGGTAGCAAACTTGAGAGGAATACCCTGAGTCTCTGCCGCTGTAACTCAATGGTTTTCTGTCCTAAACTGAAGCTCCAAACCAAATATCTGCAAATCATAGTGCAGTGCAAATGAGCTGGAATTATTTTGCTGCTTTCTTTTCCATCTGAGCTCTGCTARAATTGCTGTTGCTATAGCAAAGATCTCCTTGTGTTTCCTTTRTTGACACAGGCTGCAAACATTTTTATGACATTAAAGATACATCTCATTGAAATGCATTTTTTATAGTTCTTGCTGATTACTTATACCTTTTAATAAGATTAATTTTTCTTCCATAGGGGTCCATAAACATCAGTGGTCTTTTAGTCAGTGTCTACACTGTGATAATAAAGATGTGATCACCTCAACAGGGTTGTACTGGAATATTGAAACCTTTTATTAATAACAGTAAAGGAACTTACAGCAGGAWGCATCCTCTGTGGATGTCAGGATACAAAAACTGTTAATTGTCCTTTAAAATAATTTTAACACCTGTATTTAAAGAGTGAAAAAGAACTTGCATTCCTAATGTGTTATGGTATTGTCATTGATTTAGGCAGGACTAAGGACACTTCATGATATTGGCCCAGAAATACGCCGAGCTATATCCTGTGACTTGCAAGATGATGAACCAGAGGAAAACAATCCAGAGGAGGAGGAAGAAGTTTATAAAGTAATGTCAGAACACAACCATGTGAATTGTTTTTCGTATAATATGAGAATAAAGAATTACCTTATCCTTGGATATTAAATAATATAATAATAACAATAATACTTTTAAACCACTCAAAACAGAAAATAGAAATATTTAATGTATAAATCTGTRAAACTGGTAGCACCAGGACACTTGYATTTCTTCATAAATTTAGGAAGCAGTTCCTGCAGGGTTGTTCTCCTGCCCCTAATTCTTTCTCATTAATTCTGACTTTTTTCTTAAGCAGATCCTAACAAAAGGAGTGAACCTTGCCATCTCAAATTTTGGTAGTGACAAAGTTTAAACCAGTTTTAACTTCCCCAGTGGTAGATAGGAAGAAGAGAATGAAATTCTCTGCAGCCAAACCACAACAGCTACAGAGCTGCATATTTTAAAATGAATGCATGGAATTACATAGAGGTCAAGTAAATATAAATGCCATTTCCAATCCCGTGAGGGGTGTCAATAAGGATCAATCAGAAAAAAAGATTARTTTTCCTCTTTATGCTATTTAGTCCTAAATGGTGAACACATGAAGTTGGTGCTATAGCCAGAGGCAGTCTAGAAGCTGTTTGCCAGCAGCAAGAAAATGTATTTTTTTTCCCAAGCATTTCAGAAGAAGCAGATGTAAAGTCATGCTTCTGCAGGAATTACAGCAGAAGCCCCATAGCTTGCTACTGTCCTTTGCCAAAAGGATGGTGACAGTGCCCCAGCTGCCATCAGTAGATGCATTTCTCTGCCAACCATCATTACCTCCTGTCTTCTCTAGATTGAGCTGCAAGACAGACTGCTGTCATCCAGGACCCACCCCTGGCTAGACAGGGAGGCTCCCTAAGCTGGTCAGGTGGCCAAGAGAGCTGCATGTCATAGCCATACCTTAGCACCTCATCCTCTCTCTCACCATCATGACACTCCCAGGGCTGGTAAAGAGCACCTGCTCTTTCTTGTACCTCTGCAAGAAGAAAGAATGGAAGCACTGGAGCTGAATGTTCCCTCCCTGAGATTTGCTTGCGAGCTGTTGCATGGCACTCCATCCTGTCTGAGTGACGCCTGTTGCAAACGGGGGCTCCGCGAGAGCAGGACAGAATCCCACCAAAGTCTGCCAAAAAATTGAGCAAACACGTCTCTTTCTGAGAAACCTGGTGCATGTTCGTGTGTGGGAATCTGGGTTTCTCCTGCGTAGTAAGATGTGGAGAAAGCTGGATGTGTCACTTTTAGTTGTGTGGAAAAGAATAATGATCACAGCATACTATTGATTTGACTCCAAAATACAATATTGTCATCACCACGATCACATCTCTGTCACTGCAGGAGATCCCATCTGAAGCATCATAAAATTAGAAAGAAAAATCACAGGTTACTTGAATTGCTACTTTTCTATGCATGTAGGAGAGAAAAGTGAGTTGTCACTGTCAAAAGTTTGTCCTGTTAAGGTACCTGATATAACTTTTTCTTTCTCTTCCCCCAACACAGAGGAATGGTGCCCTCTTTGGCAACCACATAAACCATATTAGCAGTGACAGACGAGATTCCTTCCAGCAAATCAACACCACTCACCGTCCCTTACATGTGCAGCGGCCTTCAATTCCCTCTGGGAGTGACACTGAGAAAAACACTTATCATCAGGCAGGAAACTCTGTGTACCACAACCATCACAATCACAACTCGGTAGGAAAGCACGTTCCAAACTCAACAAATGCCAACCTCAATAATGCCAACGTGTCCAAAGTCCATGGGAGACACACAAGTTTTGGAAATCGTGAGCACAGATCTGAAAATGGTTACCGCTCACACTCCAGGACTGATCACGAGAAGCGTAGAAGGCCAAGCAGTAGGAGGTAACTTACAATTATGTCTTTGCTTTTAAATAAGTTTATAAACACACTATAAGAAACTTAAGCTAAGTGAAATTAATTTGGATCTTCATTTCTGTTGCCTACTGATGTATGRACTGTGTTTAAAATCAAGTTCTGATGTATAGGAGATGCATAAAACRTCACTAGAGTTGAATGAAAAGCAGCAGATTTCCTTCAAGTGAAATCATTGGTTACAGCACAGACATTGTAATCACCAAAGAATTTCTCTGAATGACGTGTTTTTAAAATGTTTTTCTCATTTTCATGGCTTACCTGGATAGAACACGCTACTATGAAACATATATTAGGTGAGTTGATGTTGTTCTGACATAATTGAAGAGCGCAGAGGAGTTTTTCTTCTTTATTTTTTTCTCCTTTCCTTTTTCTTTTCTAAATTAACTGTGCAACAATGCATATGCTTGGTAACTTTAGTGACGATTTTTTAATTATCAAAATTTTCACTGCCTATTCTATAAGGATAAATTTCTGGTGAAGTTCAAAATTATTCAAGGCCATGARAAGTCCAGGCAGGTTTCTGCAGTTTTCAACAGGCTAAAGATCACACCAGATTGTAGCACTTGTTAAAAATTGACTCCAAGACTGGAGAAACYAGTGTTAGCTTTGATAAATGTTAATGTGTAGTGGACCCAAAATCTTTCCTGGCCTTATGTCTGAATATTTTCTAAGACTACTTTTAAAATATAGGATCTATTGTTTTAATTGAAGTGCATTGGTAAATTAATGTTCATGGTGGTTTTAATGTCTAGATTTGCATATCTGTTTCAGATTGKTTTTTTTAATACCTCAGTGAGAACTTAATATTTGAGCCATTTGGCAAACTTCAGGCATTTGATAGGGGCTGTATTTTTTAAAATGAACAAATTTATATCAAGGAAAATAATGTCTTAAATGTATTTGACTTCACTGAGCATCCTCTTATTAATTGTTTTCCTMTTTGTACCATAAGAAAATAAAGGAAGGTCATCTTTAGGAAGCAGATACATTATTCACCTTCTGAACTGCAGTGCTCTGCACCACTGCAACACCACATTCTGAACTAGAGTTATTCATGCTTGTCTTTTTTTTCCACTTTGAAGCACATTGAAGGAACTGTCTATGAAATAAACAATATATAATTGATCTAAATTAAAAAAAACAAAAAACCTATTTGTTTGCTCCTTACAGATCTGACACTGGTGATGGGCGCCGTCCTACGATTCGCCGTGAAGAACAYGAAGTCCAAGACTATTGCAATGATGATCATTATTTGGCAGAGCAGGATTATTATAGTGGAGAAGAATATTATGAGGATGACAGTATGTTGTCAGGAAACAGGTGAGGATAGCTGTTAAATAAAATGCTGTTGTTTCATAGAATAACAAGCAAAAATGTTTCAATATTTTAGGTACATAGATGTAAAGGCTTCACTAAGCACACTCACACTGCAAATTCTCTAATGAAATTAATACTCCTCAACTGCTGAAATGTGCAATGATGAGTAGAGATAGAGACTGCTCCAAAGATGGAATATTTCCCTTCCACTGAATAAATTCAGTAACATTTCATAAATAAAAATAAACTCCTCTTCTGTCCATGTTTTTTTATTTTCAAGTCCAGCCCCAGAAGCAGAGGAATTTATTGCCATTTTATCCTAGATCCATAAGTGGGTATGCTTAAGTGCCAGACATGCTTAATTCTCCTCCTTCTTCTCCTCTTATATGGATTACATTCACCAGCTGAATGCTGGCAAGACTGACACCCTAATCTGCATCTTGTTGGTTTGCATAAAAGCTGAGATTTTCATGAAAGATAAATTTTACAGAATTCTCAGGTCACTATTTTTTTTGGTATGATAGTTAGCATCAAGTAACACCCTTCCAAGGTCTGAGTTTAAGCATGAGAAGTATCCAGAATGMAAGAGGCTTAAATCCATTCTGCTCTTCTGTGCTCCTGCACCTTAGCCAGGGTTCTCAAGAGAACATGGCAGGAGGAGAACTGAGTATTCATTTTATTCTTTTAAGCAGTGTGCAACTGAGGCCTTACATTTTTGCCCATACTGGTAAGAATAAATTCATTGAAAACACAGTTCGACAAAAATTTCTTCTGAGAATTGACTGTGTAGCTGTACTAGTACAAAAGTGTATGTCCACTATCTCAAAATCCTACAGAAACTGGATTTTAAATTTAAGTAATACAATTATAGAATGCAGTACTTAATTATCTTGCTGGAGAAMGAGTAGTCTTGAAAATCTTTTAGGAGGAAACTAATAGATCCAGTTACAAAAATTCACTGAAAGAATTTTTTTTTGTGTTTTAATGCAGGCATAGATAYGATTACCACTGTAGATATCACTGCCATGACTCAGATTTTGAGAGACCAAAAGGTTACCATCACCCACATGGTTTTTTTGAGGAAGATGATTCACAGATCTGTTACGATACAAAAAGATCTCCTAGGAGACGGCTGCTACCTCCAACACCACCACGTAAGTACATTAAGGACAATTTGAAAAAAATCTGAAATCATTTAAATGCGTTCAGACAGATACGGGTTTAAAAATGTTTCTTTTGGACTTGGATTTTAAGCATCTTAYTTCAGATTCGTGTTGGTACTTTATTCTGCTATCTCAGGAACGATGCTTAAAATTCTGTGTTTTTTTCTGAGGAGGAAAAGTTTCAATTTATAGATAGAATTAACATTGTCAACAAGTGTTTTTTCCTGTTTCTTTAATTTTTATTTCTTCTCTTCCTTAGATCATTCCCTTGGTTTTTCCTTATCTCAAGAACAATACTGCTTTTTCTGCATTTCTACAAGCTGTCTTGTTTCTTATCTTGTAATTCTGCCTTTGTATGTTCCAGGCCATACTGCAGAGATTAGCAGTGCTAATGCTCTGGTGAAAATAGGCACAGACTCAAAATTCTTGRATTTTGGTCTTTGACCTCTGACCCTTCACAGAGAGGAAGTACTTGGGGTGGCACTTGGAATGTAAAAGCAACCTCTTTTGAAGGCCTTTTCTTGTCTCAGAGATCCTCATGTTTTATGTATCTGAGGGTACAGTCTCAGGCTGTTTGAAGCTACAGAAAGCTGTAGTAAAGGGTGACAGCAAAATATATAATTATATAATAAGAGTATTATTCTTCAGCATTCATGGCATTATTGGATCCACACTTTTGGCACTCAGCTCCTTATGAYAAGATTACTAATGCTCTCTGCTGTTTGGCTTTCTGACCTCAARGGGCACAGGGGGAAAAGCAGAATGAGCATTGCCCCACACAGTAAATAACTCAGAACAGCAGTGAAGGGTACAGAAAGCTCCCTYCTGTCTTTCAGCAGCAAGAGGGAAAGAGATCAGATGAAGGAGAGACTATGAAARGAGACCCCTGGACATCTTTCTACAAGCTTTTCTGATAGCAGAGGAATTTTAAGCCAAAGAAGTAGATAGATGCTTTGTATATCCATTACGTAGATTGCAGGAGAAAAACTTTAATGTAAAAATTGTCTCAAACCTGCCCATGATAGTGTTTCAGTGGAGGGGTGAAGGTTTCCTCTGACTGCAGCCTTGGAGATAAAGTTTTAATGACTGTGTTTGGCAGTTATTTATTTAGAGGAAGTTATGCTTTTTATCTCACCTACAGGAGGTTAGATAAAGGTACTGGATAAGARAGTATTTGATATCCTAGGATAAGAGGACTAAATTCTGATCTAAATTATGTGAGGGTAATGTAGGARGTCCTTGACTTTCACCAGTGTAATSTCACAAGAGCAATCAGTGTSAGACCTCCTGTCATAACCCTTTATTTAATATTCAGGAAAAGAGTTGAGAAATTTTAGCAGCTCAGTATCTGAGCAGATTTTAGAAGAATCTCAAACATATTATCTGTAAATAATGCATGGGCTGTTTGGCCTGGGGAGCAAGCCTTGATCTTCTCACATAAATAAAAAAGAAAGAAAAAACCAAAGGAAAAAAGAATGTGCAGCATTGCACTAAACAGTTCCTGCTAGCATCTGATTCTGTCCAAGGGAACATAACACCCCGTGCCTTGGCTGAGCTCTGCAGTCAGTAACTTGAGCTCTGTGTCAAGCTTTCTCRATGTTTTTATACCAAACTCATCACCACAGTATTCAAGCAGTTTCCAGMAGTATACTAGGGAGTGATTGAGATGTTCTTTCAGCCTCTTCTCTGGAAGCATGTGCAAAGAATTGTCTTGTTTTGGATGAAGGGACTTTTTGAGTTGCTTTTTTATTCATTTTGGTATTGGGACATTTAGCATATTAGGATCAGGAGCTAAGGCTTACACTCCTTTATATGGATTTACCATTGAGACAAGAGAGAGACAAAGTTTGCTTTAAGTGGACAGAATCACCTGGTGGAGGTGCCTATTTTAGTTCAGTGGCTGTTGGATTGTCTGGGCAGCACAAAGTGTCTGCTGATAGCTGTGGGATGCCCTAAATCTGTGGCCCTCGGTGCAATGGGGCTCTCTCCAGTGTCCCACTCTTGCAGCTGTGAGGGGGGATCTGGACTCAGCTGCAGTTCAGCTTCCAGGCTTCCTGTGCACTGAAGCTGACWCAGGAATGGTTCCCATGTGCTTCCCAGTGCTCTGCAGGCTGTCCACGAGATCAGCTGAGACACTTCCACATCAGCCAAACATCTCAGTTCAGTTCGGATTTCCACTTTTTCCTATCATGAATAATAATGCACATAACAGCAGAGACCATGGCAATCACTGTCCTGAGCAACAGAATAAACACCAGGAATTGACAGCCTGAGTTGACTTGGGTATGGATTTACATACTGCACATTCAGGGAACTGGGGATTTTGTATTTCCTTTGGGAAGTCTGGTTCATTAGACTCAAGAGCTTGAAACCACAGGGAAGAAATAAGAAACTCACAGCAGTTTATGGTAAAACTCTGCAGCTGAGTGTTTCAGCCAGTCAGCTGCATCACATAATTTTATTTCCTGAATCAGCTGCTTCAAATTCTCTCAGGTTGYTTCTGTGATTTCTACCTAGGACTGTTTCTGTTTATGTGATTAATATATTCTTTATCTTCTAACCACCTGCTTGCTTATGTTAGCACAACTTATTTCTTACTGGAGGATCTGTTTTTATTTRTATCATAGCTGACTTCCAATGGAATTCTGGAAATAATAGACTTTGAGGAAAAATATTTTGTTTTTCTAATGAATTATGGTTTCCCCACAGCACACAGACGATCTTCCTTTAACTTYGAATGCCTCCGCCGACAAAGTAGCCAGGATGACATCCCTCTCTCTCCTAATTTTCACCATCGCACGGCTTTGCCACTTCACTTAATGCAGCAGCAGGTAAACACAAACTCTTCTTTAACCAACATTCAATTATATCTCTCAAGTCTCTGTGTTGCACTCTCAATTTCACTGCTGTTTGAAGCAGTACTGGTGTACTTKTTGCTGGAGAAAAAGCTTCTCAAACATCGACCTTGTACAAAACACTGGGAATGAGTAGCCTGTCCCTTTGATTCTCTGAGTGTCCCCAAAGAGTTGGGATGCCCTGAGGAATTTTGACCAGGACTGCATAATACAGCAGCTCTCTATTATAATCTTTGCCTATTAATTTATTAATCTCAAATCCAGCTGTGAGAATTTGCAAGTAYAGCATACACTTCTTTCTGAGGCTCAGTGTAGCTTGGAAAATGCTGGCAACTTCCTATCTTCTGTCCTGCACAGAGGGAATGTTTCTATACTTGGCTTTCTTTAWTATAATGTATAAGCAGAAAGATTTTGTGATATGAGTAAAATGGACAAAATGCCATTTTATCCTGTCAATTTACCATTTTCAGTCTTGTTCCTCTCTTACATGGCTACTACACATCAAAAAATGTTAACTTTGTGTGGCTGCTGCCTGAGAAATTGGTTTGAACTTACTGCAGGAGTGAGCAATGAGTGTGATTGAGCATTTGGAATCACTGATTTCCGAAATTCTTGCGTTTGCCAGGTGATGGCTGTGGCAGGTCTGGATTCCAGCAAAGCTCACAAGCACTCCCCGAGCCGTTCGACGCGCTCCTGGGCCACGCCGCCGGCCACCCCTCCCAACCGGGAACGCAGCCCCTATTACACCCCCCTGATCCAGGTGGACAGGGCTGACTCCACCGAGCACATGAACGGCAGCCTGCCTTCCCTGCACAGGAGCTCGTGGTACACGGACGACCCCGACATTTCCTACCGGACATTCACACCAGCCAACCTGACCGTCCCCAACGACTTCAGGCACAAACACAGCGACAAGCAGAGGAGCGCTGACAGCCTGGTGGAAGCGGTGAGTGCTGCAGGGACCTCTCAAGGAGCCAGCAGTGTCTGTCTGTGCAGCTTTTGTGTTTTTAAAAGCTTGAAGTCAGTTCACATCAGCTCTCTGAAAATGTATTTTCAGTTTTATAGCCCCAAACTGGTTTTAAGTAAGGATGGGACCTTACTCAAAGTTGTGTGGTTAAGGATTTGTACTGAATCCAAACCATCACACTAGTGAGTGGTTAATCAGAGRAAAAGATACCTCAGAATTTTGAAATGTAAGTTTTCTAGATGAGGATCTGTTCTGAAGTGTCCTTCCACAATRGCAGTAAGGGATTATGTACATGCCTGTTCTCTCTGTTGTTTCTATAGAAGTAATTCCCCATTTTTGCAATAACCTGAATAAAAGATCAAAACCTTTATGAATCAATATAGTTGAATGCTGAGAGAACAACAACTGCAAGGATTTGTTTGTAAGTGTACTAAAGAATGTTAAGAATTCCCTTTTGTATTARAAAAGATTTGAAGGTAAAGCTTGTACAGCATTTCTGAATCATAGTGCTGTAGCTTCCATCTATCAGTTCCTTTGTACTGCTGTGAGCTAAACACCACATTTTGTTACATTTTTGCAAATGGGAGTTCAGCTTCTTTTAAGCATGCACTATAAAGTACTGAGAAATATAAAATTCGGTGTTTCAGGGAATTGTTCTAATTGCACCATCTGAGATGTGTTAACTGTTGTCTTTACTGATGATTGATGTGTATAAAGGACTGCTGCCAAATTTCTAAGAAGTGTCAGATGCACTGAAGTCTCACGTTATCACACATCCTGGTGTGCTTTGGAGACTTCTGATTGTTGATTTAATTGTTCTTTACCTGTACAGTTTGGCTGTGGGTTGCTCTAGGGATTCAGCATGGGGCTTCTAGTGTTTTCTAGGAATGAGCAATGCTGGGATCTGTCTGTTGCTCTGTAATTCCACTGAAATTCTCCCTCTCTCTCCTCCATCTACCAGGTCCTTATATCAGAAGGCCTAGGAAGGTATGCAAAGGACCCTAAATTTGTTTCGGCTACAAAACAYGAGATCGCTGACGCGTGTGACATGACTATTGACGAGATGGAGAGCGCAGCCAGTAACCTCCTCAATGGAAATATCAGCAGCGGGGCCAACGGGGATATGTTTCCAATTTTAAACAGACAAGATTACGAACTTCAAGATTTTGGTCCCGGCTACAGCGACGAAGAGCCGGAAACGGGACGATACGAGGAAGACTTAGCTGATGAAATGATATGCATTACGAGCTTATAGTATTTAGCAAGGAAAACGTTCTAATCACAGAAAAAGTGCCTCATAGTTTCAAGATGCTAGGCACTAGCTGGAGTGAATAACCAATCCGAGTTTGGTATGAGTGATGTCACACCTCAAGGAAGCCATAACTAATAAATTTATTATCTCCAGGTTGCCGAAATGTGATCGGAGCTGCAGTAGGTCGAGTGTCCTCCGACAGAACCTCCAGTTCCTCTGTAGGGATAAGGTTATTTTGAAACCAAGCAGATTGTGACAATCAAGTTTTTTGAGGGCTAGGGCAGGATTCTGAGGTGTAATATCTTGCCTGTCTTTCAACCTTGTGCTGCTGTCCTTCCAAGCAGAGCGGGATTTTGTCAGTGAAAATGTCTSGTGTAGGTCTGGCTGGGAATTGTGTGGGAAACAGCAGCACGAGATGAGTGATGACACCCGACAATGTCATTACCTCAGTGCTCAGAGCATATCAGCCACCCATTGCATATCCATCCTAACATTGTTTGCAAACTTGCCTCCCCATTTCTTTTCTTAACGCTCTTYTAAAATACAGTTTGGTCATGCTCTACCTGCTAGAGATCGTTGGAAAAAGAAGTTATATAAAGAATAATCCGTCATATGTAACATCAGTTTACATAGGAAAATATCATTCAGATGGTCTGTTTTATGACTATCACGTTAAGGGCAAAATATACTGGAATAATTGCATTCTTACTAATGCACTTGCAACCAGGTTACAGTAGAATTAGATAAGATAGTTTGCTAAAAATTATATAGTAGAAAATATTGTAAATTAATTGTAATATACAATGATTTGTATTTGTAAAGAGATGTTCTATATTTTGTAATTATTGTACCGTAATTGAACTGCAGCAATATTTATGGACCCTAATTATTGTAACTCTCCACAGAATTCTAGATAGAAGTATTTTTACTTGGAATATATAGATCTATAGCATAAATATTTAAATAGAGCCACCTCTCAGTGTAAATCTCTTTTTGGGATAAAGTGTCAAGTTTGAACTTGGCAACAGAACAGATTATTTTTTTTTTTTTGTAATAATTGAGTCAAAAGAATCTCTCTGCATAAGGGATGCACCATTGACTACTTACAGTCTTATATTTGGAAAGGTAAAAAAATTAATTTCAACTTCTTTTTTTCTTTCTTTCTTTTTTTTTTTTTTTTTTTTTTTTTTTTTGACTGAAAAGTAAGCTCTAATTTTATTTTTGTAATAACCACATGCAAAAAAACCCAAACCCCAAAAACCTCGGCAAGTTCATGCCAGGGTATTCCTGGCACAATTAGTTTTGACAAGATATAATACCTGCATACCCTAATTTGACCCAGGAAACATCTTGGGCAGAAAATACTTCACAGGTAAATGAAAATGCTTTACTTTCTCTGGTTGAAAAGAGAAGAAATATGATAATATTATTCTTCACAGAACCAAAAACCTTGATATAAAAAACATTTTATTGCCTCTACCTTTCTGTTGTTCTATGTGTATTCTTTCAAAGATTTATTTTTATGCAATCAAGAGAGGGCTTCGATATTGTTCACAATGCAGTAAAACCCTGAAATGTCTTTGAGGCTGAAATGACCTTGGAGGATAATTAAAACACTCTGAAAGCTACTGTYTATTTTGTTAGCACTGGATAACAATGACTTGTTCTAACAAGTTCTCTTATCAGGTTTTACCTGTAGTTCATATGCTAGATAGCAATCCAGTTCACATTTTTACAAATGTGATGTTTAAAACATGTCAATAAACATTTTGTACATAATGACAGTTTCCTATGAATAGCTTACAGACTTCCTCTGAAATCATTCTTATTTCAAATGCCAGGATAAGAACTTAAAGGTTTGTAAATTATTTCTTGACCTACATCATTTTGTATTAAAACAAATGCAAAATGTTCTTCAAAATAAAACTGTGTAATAATTTTATTATACTTGGGAGTCCTTTTACTAATGATTCTTCACCAAGAAACTCCAAAGCTCAAATTCACTTTGCARTGTTTGAAGAATGGGAGGGAATGTGTGGAATATGGTATCAGTCTACRGTATCAGATCATGAAGGTCTTTTATGGTTGCTATTAACCACAAAGAAATAAAACAATTAATATTCATGTGCAAAAGGGATTACTGCTTCCCTAGATACAGATCTATGGAAATGATTAGGACAATTTGACTAAAATATCCTAAATCATGTAAATAAATTTTCCATGCTGCCTTGGGAAGCTCTTGGGTAGGTTACCCAGCAAGAGTCACTTTGTTACAATTTCCCAGCTTACAGAAGCAAAGTCTTGGAGGCCGAAATGGAGATTTCTGGCCATGGGATCCTGTGAAACAACAGTGAGTTGTTTTCAAAGTTCTACCTGCTGTGGTAAACCCACTTCTGAAAATCAACTTCAGGGCAACTGAAGTAAAACTTTAAAAAAAAAAATTAAAATAATCTCAGTCTTGTATTTTGTCCAGCATAGACATTTGATAGCACGTCTGGTCTGGCAGACTGAGCAGAGTGAGGGTTTTTTTAATTAATGATTTCTCCAAGGAGACAGAAACCAATATGCTGACCTCACTGTATCTTGATGCTGTTTGTCCTTAACCTCTGATAGTCTGATGAGAGATTCTTTAAGGTAGGTAAACTATTTTATGAGAGAGCTATTTGCAAAAATAAACAGTGAAGGAAATTAAGTTACAAACCACGTTCTATGTAGTTATTTGTCTAGGGAAGAACATATATATGGATTCAAAGAACACCTGTTTGGYTTCACTGCAGAAATATGTAGTAATATAGACATAATTACATGGTAATTGACATCCTTAAAATACTACCAATCATAGTAATTACTCAGTACAAAAAAAACCTAGAAGTTCTCTCAACAATTAAAACATCATTTCCCAGACTCCAAATTTGTTTATATATGTATGTAATGAGAGAAAATACTAGTAAAGAATTAGGCACTGGTAAGTACTCTACAGTGGAGTAAATTCACTGAAAAAAATTAATCTATAAAATATTCTCATATTTGAGCTGTGTCTTTTTTTTGGGAGCTTGGATGACAGAAGAATTGAGACTAAAAATTATAATAGGGTAATAAGACATGGTTGTCTTCCCCCTCTTCATTTAAACTRTAATAGAAAAAGTATTTRATTACTTTTATCATTATTTAATGATATATACTTTATATTTTTATATTAACTCTTTAATATATTTATGCTTTTATTATTCCTCAAAATCTGTTTCTATGTTTATTTTATAGAAAATGCATATTYCAAGCCCACTTTTCCAGTGTTCATATAGCTGCCTAATTTGGTTACAGACCAATTGAAAGCTGACTCTTGGAAAGGATTTTAAGGTTGTGGTGTACAAAATTTTCCACAAATTAAATACACTGCAATTTTACAAATACTACTATTTTCTGCTGCTTTTAAAAGCACTTCTCATACTGAAGCAACTTGAATGGAAATGTGTGTACAAAAGAAATGTTTTTGGTCACTTCTCTTTCTTAATCCCATTGTGCCCATGCAGAGATTTCCAACTGCCTGGAGCATCTGCATTCCCATGGAAATGCTGGTGTTCTCACCCACAGTACCATTGCTTTCTTGCATCAAACAGCTCCTACAGTTAGCAGGTTTTGAACACACAGTATATCATCTGTATATTTATAGAATTTATATCTGGGTAGAATGGGGAATAATCACACTGTATTATTTTGGTAAATGGGTAAAATTCCGGAATTACAGCTGGTGTTCTGCAGTCCAATAAGGTGGAAAGGATGGTTAATTTTAGYTATGAGACTGCCAGTGCTCCACAGGGCATGTTGGAATATCCTGGACCTGTTCTAAGTACCCTTTGGCAGATTTGACTCTGCTGGAAGTCAGAACAATTTTTAACAGGAATTCAGTATCAGCAACCAGATACAGCACAGGAGAAACTAATGGTGAATTGATGTTACTTGAAGATTTCCCCAGGGCAACAAAACCCTTCAGCACTACATCAAAAGAATCTCACGAAGGAGCCTCAACATTCTACGACAGTGAGGCTGGAATAAATAAACCAGCTGCAGTTCACAGCCATGAAAATGTTTAAGTGTTTAGAAGGAGAGGAATCTGCRAGGTTTCTTTGGATGCTTCAAACTGCAAGAAAAGGTGATGTTGTTTCAGAAGAAATGCCCCGTTATCTGACTGCTCAGTGCAGCAATGTCTTCCTGAAATCAGACACATTTAGTGTGGCATGGGTACCTAACTTTTCTATTTACTCATCTTTTTGGAGCTTGACATAGCAGCAGAGGAGAGGTCTGTGCGTGTTCAGGGGTGAGTTATGTAAGCCTGTGGCTAGTTTATCCTCTGCAGTTGCATAATAACAATTYCCATCTTGCATGCCTAGGGTGGAAACCCATGCTGTAAATCTGCAAATGCAGGAATTTCACCATCTCATCTTGCCAAATTGCTCCCCTTCTCAGCTGCACAGGACTGTGGTAAGTCTCACCCRTATATATTACTCAGAGTACCCTAATTGTATTCCAAATGACATTACAACTTACTGAATACCTTTAAAGAAAATTCTCACAAACATATGTGCTGGATAAAAATTATTTGCCATTAAGAAATACAGAATATACAGTCCATGCTTCTCTCAAACAGCTGCACCAGAGAAATTGAGTCTCCTTAACTCATCAATCACCTCTGACTTGAAATGTTTCTGTTCTTCCCCTCATTTCAAAAGAATGAATCACATGCATAGAAAGGGTTTACCTGTCTCCTTTTGGAGCAGAGTTCACTGCTCTCATATTCCATCTTCAGTGTTTGTCTCCATGCAGCTGCTCCAATGAAGCGAGTCCTTTCCCCCAGCAGGGTTTCCAGTCAGTGCCTGGCACTGAGCAGCACCAGGTACAAATATCTGCCTGAAACATCTGCAGTTGGCCCTCCAGCCAACATCTGAGTCAGCAAGGTTTCCTACAGTCTGTTAAAATGGTGTCAAATTCCATTTGTTTTTTTTCTGAAAAAGAGTTTATTCTGTTTGCCACAAGTCCTCAGAAATCTTAGTCTACAGAAGCTTTTACTTTGTGATCTGACAGCTGATTAGTCAGAAATTATTTCGGAATACTTAATAATGCAAAATAATCAATGGATTCAATTTCATTTARTGAGTGCAGTTTCTTTAGTTTAGTTTTTTAAAAAAATCAGTCAGTACCTGAAAGTTAGTTTGACACAGAAAAYAKCCATGAAAGCTCAAGTATCTTAACKTATACATCTGAAGATAATAAAGCAAAGATTTAGGTCCTAACTAAAATATAGCATTGGTTCACTGAATTAGCTATTTATCTTCTAATTGAGAAAGATCTCATATCATCACTATCTGAACTTCTATAGTTATTTTGGGTAACATTTCATTTTAAATATGGTTTGGCTGTAWTTTTTCTAAATAGAATTGGAGTGATAACAAGGCACCATTCAGAATATTTGCTGAGAAATGTCTTTTGCGAACAATCATCTCAGCAAAGACCAATAACTTTAAGGATGTTACAGGAAGYGCAGATCTCTTACTGCCAGAGTGGTACAACTAAATCAGCTTAAATTGTGAGCAGAATTCTACTAAGTTCCTTGTTGAAAAGCCAAAATAAAAAAMCCAACCAAAATAAAACAAAGAGAAATTCCAGTTTTCCAGTAGATTTTTATAAATATCAACTCCAGTTCTGCATTTTTTTTTTAGAAAAATAATTTTCTGATAAATACACWGTGTGTTTTCTCCCTGAATACCATACAGTTAGAGACTGCTGAGTTTAGTGAAATCTAACTTTGAATGAGGATTTGTAAACTGTGCATTCCTGCCACAAAAATCACATTTGACAGATTGTGAGCACATGCAGCTTCCTCCACTTCCCAGGAATTCTGATACAAACTAATTCAGCTCATGATTATGAAATTGCCTCAGTGCTTACATTTGCTTGACCATTCTTTGCAGGATGTGGTGATCACTCATGAGCTGTTATCTTGGGTAACATTCTCAGAGCAGTTAAAATTCCTCCAMTAAAAAGGGATACCATAACCATTTTCAAAACAGCAGACGTTAATCTCTTCCATTCCTCATGCAATTGCACAATATTTCTGGCRTGTGTGCACAACCTTCTTGTCATTTAGAAACAGCTTCTCTTCAACAGGAAATTTGAATTTACCATGAAAGGTCATATTTAACTAAATTTGTGGCCCTTGKAGTGTCCTGCACAGGGTCAGGAGTYGGACTCAGTGATCCTGATTGGTCCCTTCTAACTCAACTTATTCTATGATTCTAAAAAAAAGGAAATTAAGGCAGCTGATTAAAAAAGTAGGTAGTCAAATACAAAAAATGATTCAAATTAATGGTTATTTTATAGGATATGTTATTTTGCATGATATTTGTCATGTTGTCATGTTCAGTATGAGATACCAACATGCTGATGAAAGCCTAAATAGCAAATGATATGAAAGGATGAGAATATTTGTTTATCTTTGTGTTTCCAAGGTCTTGGGCTTATAGACAGGAACATTTTTSTCCCGAAGTGATGGGAGGCCCTTAATGATATCTGCAGCTTTCTCTGCTATCATGATGGTTGGGGCATTCAGATTTCCAGTGACAACACTGGGCATTATTGAAGCATCAACTACTCTCAAGTTTTCAACACCAATTACTTTAGTTTGGGGATCAACCACGGCYGTGCTGTCTGAAGGCTGACCCATTTTACAGGTGCAGGAAGGATGGTAAGCACTATCAGCCTTCTGCCTTATGAAAGCATCTATTTCTTTGTCAGACTGAACATGATTTCCTGGCTGAATTTCAGGCCCACGAAATTGTTCAAAAGCTTTCTGAGCAAAGATCTCTCTGGTCAGCTTGACACACTGGCGGAATTCCCAAATATCTCGTTCTGTATAGAGAGAATAAGAAAATTGTTAAATACACCTTTAATTTGCCAAAACATACAGAATGCAAAACAGGAAAACAGTAGCATTGAAGAAAAAAAGGCTGTAAGGAAAGCCTCTCACTTCTTGCTGAAAGTCGTAATAAAGCAGAATATTTTTCAAAGTCACAGATATTTACATTCACTGTGAACAGAACTGTGACTTGTATTGCACAATCCCAAAAGGGAAGAGGTGAACTATGAGAGATTGCACTTTATCTTGCTGTACCCACTGTCTGTGAAAAGGAAAATAGACTCAGCACAAAGAAGCAAAAGAGATTCATTCCTTCACAAGCAGAAGTGGTGAGGAAAYGAACAGCAAGACTCAGCAGATACTGGGATTTCTGACTTCAACCCCAACAGGGAATTCTTTCTTTGTGCAGTGCTTTGCACAATCTCCTCTTTTTGTACTAGTTGATTTTATAAATGAGAAGTAAGTAAYGATGTGCCAGTCAGCACTTCTGAACTGGTGTTGAGTAGGAACAAAAATCTGCCATTGAAACAGGTGGGAAATAGTTGACATGAGAGCAAGGAGAGGATGCATTTACCTGTGGACAGGTAGTTTGGCTCGATGATGGGGTGTTCATTTGGGTCTGTGCTCTTCAGCTTCACCCAGCCCACGCTTGTGCTCCTCATGGGACCCACATGCACCTGCAATACCCACGCTGTGCTCATGAAACAATCCCACCAGATGTACTGCCAAACTTAGAATATTTTGGTTTTTCAATTTAGACAGACTTTATAAATTCAGCCAATGTAAACATTAAATATATAGTGGAAAATAGTGGTGGATAGTGGAAATTACCACTGAACATTTTTCCATGTTATATAATTGGTTTTGTAAATATGAAATTGCATTGCAGGGAGGAAATAAACCTGTCACATCAACTCACAGCTGCTCTTTTAATTTAAAATACAACCATTCCAATTTAGTGGTAGCAGAATGTTCTAATACAATCACGGCAGCTGCACCAAATTATTATCACCTCTGAAGAAAYGGGATTAGCAAGAAGAAACATGTATATTCAGCAGCAGTTCCCCAGAATTAGCACAATTTTGGATCAAGATGGTAGTCTGAAATGGGGCTTGGATTTGTGCCAGTGAATGAGTGATTTTATACATTTTCACTTTAACCTTTGTCTGAACTGCAGTSGAACAAGGAACACCTGGTTTTAGTTCTGAATAGCACCTGGCACTGTGGTATCCYAACCCTCAGCACCAGGGCACTTCAGTAGATTGATTCAATACTTGCCTACTTTCCCAGAGATAAAAACTAACAAATTTGGTGGCAATATCCAATAACAAACATGTGGCTTTTCTCCARTGTAGGAGGTTAAGCCATCTCTTTCATATCATACTGAACAAACTATTTTTCACTGTATAGCCAAATTATCACCATTTGTAATGGAGCATCATCCTCCTTGCTAATGGGTATAAAACATTACTGAGCACACTCTTCTCACCTGGTAAGCTTCCACGGCAGAAGCAACACGACCGTGATCAATCACCTGAGAAGGAAGGAAGTGGAACTGAATGTCAGGGTGAGGAACCCCTGGCTCACTTCGGATAAAACCACCAGATTCTAAGTGGGCAGTGGCTCCATCGCCTGGAGACAGTAAAGGAGAGAGAAGATGCCATTAAAAGACTTCAGAAGAGCAACAGATCCATTTCTTTTTAACCCTTAGTTACACTACTGTGACTAATTCATTTGCACAGCATCGATTGCAAGGAACACAAATCCTTTATGAATGCCTTGTAATTTAAGCAAARTGCATCACTTCCGGCAGCTTTTTAATTTCTAGATAAATGTAAATATGCATAACTTTGGAAATCCCTCTGATTTGAGWGCAGGATGTTGCAGTTATCTCACTGTGACTGGCAGGCCAAGGATCTGACCCCRGAAGATTTCAGAACTCAGAATCCTAACGGGAGCAGAGGGACATCCTGATATTCCAGCCCTGCACGCTCCATGACTGCACTCCATTTATCCCATCACTCCCATGGAACAGGCAGAGCCACCCACAGTGCCTGCCCTGAAGGGGAAGATGAAAAGACTGCAATGTGTCTTATTTTAATTTCTRTTAAAAACTGCAAGTTAGCCCTCAATATTTACCTGCATGGTAGAAAGACACATACTTCCAGAATAAAATGACAAATAATAACATGATTCAGCAAGTGGTGTAGAGCTCAACTTTGGCCAAACTATTTTGCTGGCATCAAGGATTATATTTACAGATTCTTTTAAAGGTACAGATTATGGCTGAGTTACTGTAAAATGCATGTGTCATTTCAAGGAAAGTCAATTTGGAATTACTTGCAGGCCTAAAGGATTCTGATCAGAGCAAAAAACAAACTCTTTTGAGACAATTATTCAGAAAACTTAATTTAGTTCAACAATATGTTTTTATTTACATCACATTGGTTTAAAATAGAACATTTTCTCCTTTTTTTTGCAATAGCTTTTCTGAGTAGCACTGATTTTTGAATGTAGGATTTTTCTTCACATGAGATATAATAATGTTAAGTGGTGTATAATAACCTCCCTCATTACCTAAGTTATAAAATAGTCTGATTTAGAAGAAAATAAATAGTTCAAGTCCATTTGCAAGTTACAGTTGTTTCCTAGAGCATGAAAAAGRTTATATATCAAGGCTCCCAGACTATAAAATTCATGGATAAAAGGCTTTAATAATCTATAAATTATAATAATCTTAAATAAAATTATAATAATCTTGAATAAAATAATCTTAAGCAATCAGTGGTAGAATGTCTGCATGCTTTACTTCATACCTGTGAATTTCCAAAGCCATTCGAGCCCAATCCTCACCATGTTAAATGGCTTTTGTGCACTGTACAGAGTGATGGGCTTGGTGCACTTTTGCTGGACATACACTTCTAAATGATCYTGAAGRTTCTGTCCTACTCCTGCAGGGGGTWGGAAGGAGGGGAGGGAGAAGAAAGTGGGAGGGAAAAAAAAAGTTATTTCACRCAGATTACCCACCATATTTCTAGGAGAGAACAGCTTCAGTGGGAACTGAACCAACCCTCCGTGGGGCAGCGATGACTCAGATCAGTGCTGTGAGTCACAGCAGCCTTTTGCTCATGTCAGAATRAGGCTTTACAGAAACATAGCATAGCTGGAATCAAAATAGCAAGTTAAATGGCAGATATATCACTTGCTCTAAAATTGCCAGATATGGCTTCTAAATACTGTGCTAACTTTTTTAGCTTTAAGGAAAAGTTCATGTTATTTCTTCTATATTTGAAAATTTATGACAGTGGGAGTTTATACAATCTGTTGTGGATCAAAACTAACTCAAAACTCTTAGTGGCAAGTGTGCTGCTTAACTATAAAAATATGCCTTCAGAAAGGCATTTTTCACTGTCAAATGTACTGAAGAAAGTGTAGGAGTTTGTTGCTCAGTTCTAAAATCAATGCATGTTTCCACTGATTTGTATAAAATCAATGCATCTTTCCACTGATTTGTAGCAAACATRTTTCCACGTGTGTTTCAGTCTACAYAACTTGACATAAAGACAACTCAATTTCAYGATTCATTTAATTTAATGGTCGTTCAGCTGCATCCATAGGAAGATGACAGGTTACAAGAAAGAAAAAAAATTACCGGGAAGGTGGCAAACAACAGGRATCCCCAGTTTTTTTAGATCATCTGCATTTCCAATTCCAGACAACATAAGCAGCTGGGGAGAATTTATGGCACCTCCACTTAAAATAACTTCCTTATCGGCAAAAACCTAAAAGGAAATGAGCACAAAAGCCCTAGGATTATTAAGTCTGAGCCGAATRCAAGCAATATCAACAGCTTCTGTTTGGATATGCTGTTCTGATCCAGATTAGACGCCCTTCTCTCATATTTTTCTCATTTAAACATATTCCCGCCTTGCCAGAATTTTCCGCAGAGAGAAATAATCAAGCTTTTACTTTGATCATTCCTGTATTTATTCCCCTCTTTATAATCCATTYAAACTGTATGGCACAGAAACATCCAGCCCAGCCAGTACCACGGCTGCAAATAAACTCCTGTCCCACTCGCCAGGGGAACAGTGACGCCTGTGACAGCTGGATCAGGCAGCAAACCTTCTCTGCCATTTTCTATAACCCTTTATAAATTAAAACTCAAACTCCTAAGRAAGATTTTGAATTCACAGACATGGCAGCTCAAAAATTTCTAACCACTGGAAACTCCAAAATTGAGTTTAATTCAACTGAGACTAAAATTGGTTTCTTAGCTCATGGTAGTCCCCCACTCACTGAAGCTCTACTGATAGAACTGACTGCAGGCATAGACTGAATTCAGTTTTGCTCACAGACTATCCATCAAATGTAATCCTGTCCTATTTAAATGACACCTCAGCTATACAGAATGATGGCAAATGCTATTGTTGCTACAGCAACATCAAAGTGTAATAATAAAAGAAGTATTTTCACACTATTTATCTCATATTGCTGACAGATGGCCAGTGCTGTATTTTTTGTTATTGCTTTGCTCTGGGCAATCATTAATGTGTTAAGACTGAAACAGAGCATATYAGTGCCTATTGAATCAGAACTTAATCCTGTGTCTTGCATATTATATAAACTTATTTGACTTTTTTACACTTTCCATGGTACACACAGAGSTGTTTAAACCAGTTTGTTCAGAGTAGCATTCAAATGATGCTTGTTCAGTCTGAACTCACTGCAAAGCCAGCACTGCACTTATTCCTAGCCCACACTGAGTCTTTCATAACGCCACAGCTAACACACTAAGAGGAAAAAGTGACTTTGATATTTTTGTAGCTGTTAGTCTGTAATGCATTAAAACATTTCCATCTTTTAAAATATGCTGTTCAGTCTGATTCTGACCTTAAAAACTCCAGGACTGTTCAGTCTACCTTCCCTACTTTTGTCAGAGGACTTACTGGAGTCCTGCAACATCTCTAGATCTTCAGTGTCAGACAAATAACAAGTCACTGGCTGGTAAATAGGTTTTGAATAATTTTTGTATCTGGTTTTGGTGATCTTTTGGCTGTTCTGATAACTGACATAAAAGAGATTCTATCTAAAATAGACTGTAAAAAAAAAGAGCACTTTAATGTAGTCAAGTGCTTCACCTTGATGTTCATAATACAATAAAATTATTAGCTCTTCCATCCCAACAGGTATAAAATTCCCAGAAAGTAAAAACAGACAAATCCTGCAGTTTTGATGCTGGGGGTGGGGGAAAAGGAGGAGAAATACTTTGGAGGTATATATACTTTGTACAATAAGCCATAAATATATATCATTCACTATGCAGAATTCATATATATATATTAAAATATAGCAATAACATTTCAATTAAAGCATTTTGCAATTAAATGGTCCAGTATTCATAAAGTCTTTGATCAGGTGTAATTAGCTTTTCAAGACTTTCTTCAACAAAATTTATCTTGATAACGGCACAAGCACAGCAATTAGAGATACTGTTTCCACAGAAATTTAATAGCTTATGAAATCAATTAAGTGKTCTGCAACTTTTATCTTATATTGTTAAAATGATTATCATTTGCAATCCATTTAGAAAGCAGCAGATTTGTTCTGTGCCTTAGAAAATGAAAGAAGAGTTTATTTRTACAGCATTTTAACTTTTAACAGGTGCTCAGTCACAGAACACTTATCTGCTGAGTTACTGAACTCAAATGATCACAATTTGTACTCTCTAGGATATTATTATTACACTTACAAATTGTTTTATAATTGCTTGTGACTAAATATCTTAGGTTATGAGCACACAAGCCCCTTTTAGGAAATACCCTAGTGACAGACTAATCCATAATCAGCGGTTAAGGGAAGTGAGGATGGTTCAGGTCTTACAGAAGTCACTGGATTGAAAGAGGTGTGAAATGAATCAATTTTCCACAGAGTTTTGTAAGAACAATTCAAGCTTCCTTCCACACATTTTCAGTGGAAGTTGGAATGAAACTGAAAAATATTCAGTCCCCAGCCAACCACAAGGCAAGATTCATCAAGCATCCCTTGAGCCATTCAGATTTCATAATCCAGTTTTTCCAGATCTATCTCCCTATGCCAGACCAGCATTTTCAGAATTGTTTTTCAGGAACATCACCCCTGCAGCACACTGGTCATTGTGCTGGGACAGAGTTACAGCACAGGCTCCAGTCACCTTACACAACACCCCCTGTMACATCAGGTGATGGCTTCCCCTCACTCCTGGGAGATGGAAATTTGATGGTGAGGTTAATCTCTAAATCAATACAACTGAAATATCATCTACTGTAAAATAACTGGCAAGAGATCATATACTGAAAGAAACAACATAACCCCTAAAAAAAAAAAGACATTTTGCATAGTAAAGTGCCATTTTTRATAGAGGTTTGTTTTGCAAAATGATAATTTTGTTTTGATTCATACCTTTCACACTAGAAATTGAAAATCTCTTACCTTTTTCCTTTGCCCATTTTTCACATACTCAACACCAATGCATTTTGTTCCTTGAAACAAGATTTTTGTTACAAGTGTCTTCTCTGCAACTGATAAATTTGGGCGTGATATGGCTGGGCGAAGATAAGCACTAGCTGTGCTCCATCTCTGACCTACAATGTATATTTACATTAAACATCAAAACAGTCATTCTCAGTACTCTTCAGACTTTGGCTAATACCCATCAGGATGTTTACAGAGAATAAAATCTTCACAGAGTTTACAGTGCTCAAAACAAATATGACTTGATGTAAAGATTTTATTTTAACAAATTTCAGAATGACATCRTTTAACTGTGAATCAGGACTTGCCTGCTGATGCGACTTGCAATGAAATTGAAATACACATTGAAATGTGTATTTAATGAACGAAATAGACATTGAAATATGTGTTTAATGAATGAAATACACATAGAAATACACATTGAAACGTGTATTTAATGAATGAAATACACATTGAAATGTGTGTTTAATGAATGAAACACATATAGAAATACACATTGAAATGTGTATTTAATGAACGAAATACACATTGAATTATACATTGAAATGTATATTTAATGACAGAAATACACCAATAGCAAGCTGCTGTGAAATGAATAGGGTACAAATATAGAGTGCCACTGTACTCTAATATTATGTACTAGTCCTCACAGTAACCTAAACATTCACATGGCATTCAGTGCAGGTTATATGTCCATAATCCAAAATGGTTTCTGGATCAGACATAGAAATGACYTAAGAACCCCTTTATGATTTACCTCGGTGTATGGTCATGTCCATCCAGCCRAAGCCCTCCTGCTGGTAGCCATTCATGTCATCCGTGAAGGGGTACCCGGCTTGCTGAGCTGCCTCCAGGAACGCTTGATGAAGAGGATGGTTTGTTTTCCCCCTGGACACGTRCAAGGGGCCATTCCCACCTCGGTACTGATCCGGCCCCAGTTCGTGCGTCTGTGCCTTCTTGAAATAGGGCAGGCAGTGCTCGTAGTCCCAGCCCAGAGCCCCTTCCCTGCTCCAGCGGTTGTAATCCTCGGCGTGCCCGCGGATGTAAACCATGGCATTGAGCGAGGAGGAGCCGCCCCACACCCGGCCCCGGGGCCAGTACATCACCCGCCTGTCCATGTGCCTCTGGGCTGTGGTGTGGTAGTACCAGTTGTATTTCTCGTCACACAGGTTGTACGTTAGCGCTGCGGGCATGTGGATCTTCCACATCAGCCTTTTACTGCCCAGGACGGTGTCTTTAGGGCCGGCTTCCAAAAGGAGCGCGGTACTCTGAGGGTCCTCTGTCAGCCTGTTGGCCARCACACAGCCTGCTGATCCAGCTCCAACAATGATGTAATTGTAGGAGTTTGCCTTTTCAGAACTCAGTTGGGATGATGCACGTGAAATTTTGAGTTGCTGCTCATTGATTYGTAATATGTTCTTCAGTGTGTGTGTTTTAAACAGGCTTCCTGCTACTTTACACATCACAGGACTGTGACATTTAACTCCTTTCATTAAATATGACATCTTTACTGCTAGTGTCACTCTGGCACAATTTCTAGCAAAAATCCAGTGGTTTACCCTAGAAAAAACCCCAAAGATACTAATTAAGGTGCAAGCATTACTACCTCTAAAATGTCAGTCATTTTCAAGTGACACTGGTCTACTTTATCTATTTCCACTACCCAAAAATTTAACAATGCCAATAAACCAAWAAACATTTACAATCTTATTATTATTTTAATGCAGCAAAGAGTGTGTTATCWTATAGTATATGTAGTCTGATTTTGATTTGCTTCTGGTTCCTGAGATAGACATATGATGAACATTTTCAAGTATTTGCCAAACCCATAAGGGGTGGAAGCTTTTGAATACCCACCTCCAATAGACAGGAATTTTAAAAAAACAAAAGTTTCAAAAACTTCTCTGTAGGTTTGTGACAGACAGTGATATCACACAGGCAATTCACAATGGAAATGATGAGTATGCTCACTGCACATTCTGCCAGACAATGTCTCCACAGAACAAATGTGTAACAAATTCACTCCCAGCTGTCACTAAGGTGAAAACTGCTGGATTTGGAGGCTCATCTGCTAACACAGGGAAAGGCAAAATCTGTTCATCTGTGCCTTTCTGCCTTGCTACTAAATCTAGATCTTGCAGAAGTACTCTGAGTACAGTTACAATGTGACACCACCACCAGATCCTTAGGCTGACTATGAAAGGCAAGGTTTTAACATTCAGGAGCCTGTGAGCCTCAGAAGTACCACAGGTTTAGCTCTTTGTTGCCCTAGTTTGGGTACAGGGACTCCATGCCAGATTTGCACAGYCTGTGTGTCACAGGTGCTGATGCTGCTGGCCAGCCTGAAGGGTTTCTCCTGCTCTCTCCCCTTGAAACCATTCCTTTTGGTACAAATTAGTGAAAAGAGTGTCCTTGGGTGGTGAATGGCATTTCTCCCTGGCCCTTGGGTTCTGTCTAAGCTGTTGCTATGGATTCTAGAGGCAGCAATTTATCCAGAGCCCATTACACTTATCTGTCTCAGCACTGCCYAGCTGAAAGAGATAAGCAAGACTTCCCTGAAACACACTGAATACTCTGTAACAAAWTTAGGTGTAAATTGCTGCTAAATGTTAAAAATCTTCCATGTACAATTATAGTTTATATAATTTTATGTATAATCTCATTTGCAAAAGCATGTTCTCTTGGGGATCAGATGAGAAAAAGCGTAACTCTCACTTTTCTTAGGAAAAGTTGTAATAAACTTGTTTGGGGCTGTAAAACCCCATAACTTCTGAGTGAACAACCAGCCATGGAGAACAATTTGTTCTGTAAAGAAAAAAAAAAATATGTTGGGGACATGTCTGAGCCTAAAGTTCACACAGCTGACTCTCCTCACGTGGCTAATTCAAAATTGTTCCCAGCTGAATGTAGGGACTGACAGGATTTTGGGTTTTTTTGTGCAGGTGGAAACTATTAAAGGATTCTTTCTTGAAGAAGGTTTATCAGCTTCTTGTGATGGAGAAGAGGAGGGTGTAAAGGTAGAGATTTTTATTTTTACTTTTTTAGTTGTGATGAAGAGGGTTACTGTTCTGCAGTAYTTGTGTTTAACCTGCAGAACTGGTGGGCCACAGGACTTTGTTGATTCAGGAGCAGCAGATTGKTGATGGGGTTGGTAGATTATGAGCTTGGGCATTGATAATCTGGGAAATTCACTATGTCCCAATAGGGAACTATAGTTTTATGGACAGTTCTTTTAAATGTTGTACTGGCTATGTCAAAAGGAAATGGGTAGAGAGAGGGAGGTTTATACAGTGGGGTTCTATTGGGATGCTCTGTACTCATTACCAACAAAAATTATCTTTTGRGGCTTACTGGATGTCCCTGTATGTCTTTATCTGGGTTCCCCTATATCATGACCTCCTTATGAACATGTTCTTCAGGAGTCTGTGAGAAATGCATATGGCAGCAACATAAACCACATTCCCTGTATTGCAGCAGAGCTTCATGGAGCTTGCTTTTCAAAAGTTTGTATTTACCAAAGTTGCTGTTTAGCAGGGCCTACAGCAGGGGRGCCTTACAAGACTGAGGAGAGCAGAAGCACCCCAGCAGGAAAACTCTGTTGTTCAGATGCAATAACACAGCTAATCGCACAGTGGTTAGAAGTGAGCAGTGCAATTCTGAAACCGGGTGTTTGGGGCTCCTTGAGTCATTGTAACACATTTCTGAGTACAGTATCAGGCTGATACAATCCAGGGGTAGCTATTATTGTAACTCCACCCATGTTGATCTGGGGTCATGGAAAAGAGGCTTCTGCAGGGACCCAAGACAGGGCACCCAGGGGCTGGGCTAGCAGGCTGAGCTGACAACTGAGAAAGCTAAACTTAATATTCCCTTTAAGTAACTGAAGTAGTATATTTTAAACCTTCTCCACCTCATGTTTTTCAAATTTAGAAGTGATTTCATGGTTTTCTTTACTTGCTGTTGTTTTACTTCAAATGGAATGGGACTGGCAGAGCAACATTTGAGAGAATTTTTGTCTTGCAAAGAGATTTGCAAGACAAAAGTCAGTCAGCAATGTCCTGGCCATAACATTCAAGTGACTTTGACAGTAGTGTGTAGATGATTCACAAATCATGGTGCTTTTAAGTGCAGAGGTCAAAAATCAAGTCATTCTGATATAAATCCAGCACATTCATTTTGSTTTAATTGATTGAAACACTAATTTCAGTGCACAATTCWTTTTRCCATATTAATTCACCTCCACTCTTYTCTTTGTGGTCCCWCTGCATGAGCATTGTCCTGCTCCAGTTCTTCTAAACTGATACTGAAACAAAAAGCAGAGGCCACTGTGCCTGAAACCCTAAAGCAGAATATCCTCTCTGGCAGGTGTAAAATGTGTCCCTCTCCCAGAGATGCCCACAGCATGGACAGCACATGCTGTATCAGAGCGACGGGGCTTTGTCAGGACATTAACCCTTCATGGCACTGCCAATCCTCTCAGGCCTGACTGTAAGGCACAGGAGGAACAGYTCCTCAGGTTAAAGCAGCTCTYGCTTTTTTGTTTGTTTGTTTTTCCCTGCTGCAGGCTGTGCAACACAGATAAATGTATCTGCTGTGGGAATGTTTTGGGCTAACTTTCCCTTCAGTCCTGCTCGGGAGAAAGTTCATTCACTTTCAGAAACTTTGTAGTAAGTTTCGTTTCCAGGGCTGAAAAAGTTCAAGCCGACTTACCTCGCCTCTTCCTCGTCTGTGCACAAGCGTGTCCGGCCGCCGTGAGCTCCSGGGGCTCCTGAACCGGAGCGGGGCCGGGGCCGCTCCCGAGCAGGCGGGAGATGGGTCTGTGCCGCTCCCCTCGGCAGGACGGGGCACCCACAGGCCGCGTCCGCGTCAGCCCGGGCCGGGGAGGCCGCTCGAGTGCGGGGCTGCCCCGACCCTCGGCAGCCACCGCCCAGCCCGCGGGCGGAGCGCGGGGTGGTCCCTGCGAGCGCTGGGGCGAGAGCGGGGAGAGCTCGGCGGGGAGGCAGGGCAGGAGGCGGCTGGGACTGCCCCCGGAATGCACCCTTTGGCCGCTGGGCAGGATGTGCCGGAGCGCCTTCGCGCCGTTTCGAAAGCGCCCGGAGGGGCAGCGGGCGAAGTCCTCAGCCTCGCCCATCCCGCCGGAGCCCCGGGCGGCTGCGCTGCCCGCCGCTCCCGCACCCCGCAGGGACGGGGCTGCGAGCTCCGTCAGGTCCCCCGGGATGGGGCTGCGAGCTCCGTCAGGTTCCCCGGGATGGGGCTGCCGGCTCTGTTGCGGAACTCCTGGGCGCGGGGCAAACCCAACCCCGCCCTGAGGTGACCTCCCCGCTCCTTCCAGGGAGCGCTCCAACTTTTTCACCACGCTCTTAGTGGGGTGGAAAAAAAAAAACGTTTCCCCCGCCTTGGCTGGGAGAACGCTTTCCAGTGGGAGCTGCAAGGTAGCTTGAGCTGAAAGCCCAGGCGGCCCCGCTCCGTGCCCCGTTCCGCCCCCGGCTCAGCCGCCCGTTCGCGGCCCTGACGGGAGGTGTCTCTGTGTGTATGAGCTCTGGGCGCAGGGCTCGAAGGCAGCCTGTGAAAGTTGAGCTGGAACTGCAGTTCAAGGCTGTAGTTGCGATCCTTACCTGTGCAGTAAGTGTTCCCAGAACGCCTCGGTTTGGAAGGGAGAGCAGCAAACGCGTCGTCCCGCCGGGCTTGTCTGTGCTGGTTAGTTGCCTCAGCAGTGACGACTTTCGGGTTTGGTTGTATCACTGATTGGTATGTGTTCAATCATAATTCTGAACACCATCCCATTGGGTAGCCAGAACTAATAATTCCACAATCTAACTCACGTAACTTACTTCTCTATTGGCTTTGTCCTCTGAATATCTGTACTATCCTAATGTAGTGCCAGCTCATTGTAGACTGAACTGCATTAAAATGTGGTGGTGGTGTCATAAAATTCCTTGAGAAATGGCCAGGGATTGGTATTGTGTGAAGAGTCAGTGGCACTCCTGGAGGATGAACCCAGGAGTTTTGTTTTCCCTTTCAGAATGCTCATGGTAGAACAAAGCTGATACAATGGAGTCAAACCAAGATAATTGTGGGATCTTGTACTTCTCCCTGACATCATCTAAGGACAATGGTCTCTTCTGCAGTATCTTTGATATTGTAAATGCTGGTTTTTCTTTCCAATTCCTTCCTTATCACTCTTCTCAGAATGCATGGAATGAGTAATAATTTTCTAGCTTAATTATTTGTTAATGTTTTTGTCCTTAATCAGATAAGAAGATAATGGACAGCCTGGGGGTGGTTGGTTTTTCACACTCAAGCACCACACTCCAAACTTCTGAATAATTATTCTTTAACGGAAAACAGTAATTGTTCCCTGTGGAACTATGAGTAAATGTGTACTTGATATAAGTGGTCTTTGCGGTGATTAAGACTACTTGAAACAAAACTGATGTGTGTTTGCAGTGTTGATGTAATTTTGTACACCTTCAATGCTGTTATTCAGAAAGCAAACAAAGTCTGTATAAAAGTATTAACTATATATATAATATATATATAACTATATATAAGAGTACAGAAGTTTCATGAAGTAACAGTAATTTTCAACAGTTAAGTAAGGGTAGATGTAGAACACAAAATTCCAATTATGTTCATTGTTTTGAATGTGAAAAGATGGAGTTTTGCACTACACTGTAAGAGCTTCTGCAGGTGTCCAGTATTTCATGGGTTTCCTGACCAGAAATTGTGGATGATACCTTAACCCTCTGTTATCAACTGCATAATACACATAGTCTCTAAGAAGAAATGTTGAGAATTCTGTGCGGTGAATTTGCTGGTTTTTAATACATGGATCCCTGAATATCATTCTCGAGTCAGTATTCACTGCAAACCAAACTGAAAGTACTCATGGTTTTCTGTTGCATTATTTAGCAGGTATATTCAACAGACTTCCCCTGAATGTTTGCAAAAACCTGTGAAAAAGAAATGTTTTGTTTATACAGATATTTTAACGTTAAAATGCAGATGATTTTGCTCTTAGGTAGCTTTATGTATATTGGCCTTGGCACATTTTGCCTTTCACCTTCCTTAASTTTTATGCTTACTAGAGTAATGCTGCACTTCAGGAATTAGTTATTTTGTAGCTCTTGCTCAGGGTAAAACTCTAAATTAAAAAGGAATAGAGCAGAGGAGATGAGATGATGACTGACTGATGAAACATCAGATTGCAGGAGGAGGTACATTCCAGTAATGTGGGAGGGAAGCAGATTCAGACTGATATACATTGTTTGTTTCAAGGTGGGGAAGAAAATTGAGTAAATTAGTCAACAACTCCAATGTTGATGATGAATCATTTTGCATTGCTTTCATTGTCCATACTTCCCATGTATGGACATTGCAAATGATAATTTCAGTAATTCTGTGTGCATTTTCTCCAAAGCCTATTAAAATACACCTAAACGAATTCATAAATACCATATACTGGTAATTATTATTATGATTATGATAACTGAAGGTAGCATTTACGGATTTGGTTCAAAGTGATTTTTTTTCTCTTTTAGAGCTCCTCACAATTGATTCAGTTGGAGGGTTTGTGTATTTTCTCCTTGCTGCTCTGCTTGTGACTGTGTCTCATTGCTGTGGCRGCTCATGCTATCTCAGACCAAGGTAAGAGTTCTCCCTTTGAGCTTTTGTATTCTGTCGAGATTTGCTGCAAGCATCCTTTTAGATAGGGTCATATGAAAGAGATACCTAAAAGGGAATCATTGTAGTAGGGATGCTCTCAAGTTTGCTCAGGAAGCTCCATGTTCAACATTTTGGTTCAAATCAGCCCCATGCTTTTGAAGGCAGCTGCCCAGCCAAACCAGGTTGGGCTGGTGCTGCAGGGCGGTTGAGGAGCCCAGCCTCAATTTGCCCTCACATGGAACAAAACTGAAGATGTGCTCTAATCAATCTTACACCACCCTAATTGCTAGGCAGGCCATGGACGGGACCCAGGCTCCGCTGCAGTGACTCCCCTGAAATCCTTCACGCACAACTCTGTCCCCTGGCCCCAAGTGCTCTCCTTTTTCCTCCCATCATTTTCTTCCTAATGAGAGTCAATATTTCATTTCTTACTAGAAATAGCACTCCTGTAACTAAGCATTTTTTTGTTGTGAGATAGAGCCCACCAGGTATCTGCAGCATAGAATTGAGGCGGGTGCTGGCTGTATAAAACTGCTGCTAGTTCTTTTGGGTTGATTTTTGTAAAATAAGGAAAAAAGTAGACTCTGCAATGAATAATAAAAAAACTAACAAGGTTTTGATGGTAGGAACAGGCAAGAAAAAAATGCTCCACTTCCAAATTCTTGTCTTTCCMCTGAATAAAATAATTTATTACATAAGTAAAATACTAACAGCAGTTGTAGTTTARGTCCTTCAGCTCAGTTTTTCCTTAATGATCCCTTCTATAACACCTTTATCTCCTGGTAACATTAGAGTAGGAATGAGAATATCACATTAAACCCACAGCTGCACTGTTCAGCTGTTGCTTCTGTGTACATATTTCTTGGAATGAATCTTGGCTTAACATTTGTCACATCATATTTTATACCTTAAATTCCTACACTGTGCAATTTTAATAATACATAACCTTTATTATAGAAATGTAGTTATTTTGGAGAWGACAGTGATACCCTGTATGCAGAATTAAGTGCATACAATTCAACAGATGAAGGGTAGCTGAAGTCAAGTGCATTCAGTAAGTATGTTTGTTTTTTTCACAACCATAAAATGTTCAGAAATATCTCTGTTGAAGTTAATATTACTAAAATACAAAAAATATATATTAACAGATGATCACTTCATGTGCACTTATAAAAAGAAGGGCATTTGGGGAAAGGAATCTTCAGTRAAGTCCTTACAGGTTCCCTGTAATCACCTCCATTACCACACAAACGCAGCTCGCTCCCGCAGCATCCTGACCCCAAAACGCTGCCAYTCCCTCTGGTATATCCAGAGCTCCTGAGTTGTGTCCAGACAGGCCAAAACTGCACCTCCTTTCCAGGCAATTAAACGTGGATCCATATCCTGAATTCAAAACACAGATTGCACACAATCACTGATCTGATTCAGCATCATTCTCCAAAGTTGTATCCTACTTTCTCCYAAGGTATTCACCAGTTAGAATCTGGTGGGGCAGGGGAGGAGAAAGGTTTTTCAGTATTATCCAGGGAAAAATAGTGAGACAAAAATATTTGATATTCAAGATGCTTTGAAAAGTGACTTYTGGTTTTAAGATGCTTTCTAGGCATGCTATGAAAATCTTGCCTTCAATAATGGAGGCTCTGAAACAGACCGAAGCATATGTACAAGTTTTGCCTGATTAATGCCAAATGAAAATTGCTTTCAATGCTTTTCTTTTTTCTGAATACTACTAAAAAAAAAATCACAATTCCCTGCTGAGAAGACAGGTTCATGGGCCAGTACTAACTGCTTCTTTATTTCAGCTGATCAGTTCATTCACCACTTAGCTCTCAGTTAACAATTACCTTGGGTCTTGTGATGACTTCAACATTTTCAACAACTCTTCTGAAAGATGGTGGCATTTTGTTGAGAATTCGGTGTTGAAGAAACTCTTGAGCTTTRTGAAACATGAGGCCTCCACCCACTACTAAGATGGAGCTGTACATCTTCTTTTTTGTATCATCAGATGCTGGAATGAATGAAAATATAGAAATATATCTGTTTTTCAAAGTTAATGGGACCTGTATTTGCATTACAACTAATTTAGTGCAAGTCAAACCAGAAAAAACAGATGTTTCCAAATAATTTTGCTATTCCTTGGAGATACCAAACATGTAAATTAAGAAATATCAACAAAGATGCAAGTATAAGAAACAATGTAGCTACTCTCAAGGTGATAAAACCTAAGGACATATCTTCCTTTGGTGAGATACAGAAGTTACATAAATCCACCCTGAGGTGTGTTTTACAGACTAGAACMAATATAATTCTTACCACAGCAGTCGATACTATGAAGGATGG